CGGGGCATACGGCATAGGGGAATGGAGCAGCGCACGCATCTCTCTCTCACACACACACACACAAGAAGTTTTACTTAAAAAATCATGTCATATCCTCTATGGATTATGAAAATTTATTGAAATGTTGATTGATGAGTTCGTTCAAATTCGTTCTCTTTGTCTGTCACTTTTTTTATAAAAAAGTGCGACAAATTACTCCGTCCTACCTGATGATGCTGATCCTAAGTGATGGTGGAGTCCCGACGCGAAGATATTCGTTTTATTGTATCCTCTATGGAATAAGAAAATTTATTGAAATGTTGATGAGCTCGTTCCAGACAGCTGGAACAGCAGTTATACCTGCCACACCAGCTATCCTCACATTGCCGGCCTGTATATTGCTTATTTAAGCCTCTTTTAAAGGATCCCGTATTATAGGAGGGAGAGAATACGTGAGCAGGCAAAGCATGCCATTTGCAGAATTAGTTACAAAACTTTTATGTTCGCATTGGAAAGGCTTGCAGTGGCTTTTCTACAAATCTTTGGCATCATCTTTACAAGTCCTGGCATCAATTACTTATGAAATTTGAATACTTTACAACCTCTTTTGAAATGCAGTATAAACAAAAGTTTCATGCTTTTTGTAGTGTTGGGAACCATAATTTCTATTATTTATCTACCAGTATGTATTGAAGTGGTTCAATAGTAAAGATTTCTCCATTCAATTTGGTAGTATAATGTGTGTCATAGAATAGTTTTCAATACTTGGGGTTTTTGCTTCCTTTCCATTCGGTATGTGTTTTAGTAACGAAGAAGAATAGCCTCGAGAAATCACATAAAATTATTTGCGTATATAAACGAAATTTGTGAGAGGTGAGTTGTTACTTTGTTACCTTTGCCATATAATATTGAATTTGGTTGTTCCGCTACATTCACATGGGCGTATGGTGATAAAATTTAGTCATACGTTTTCATTTTGTTATTTCTGACCGCCGTAGGTTTTCAAATAACCTTACGCTCATTTTCTTTGATATTGTTGTTACCAATACATAAGAAAAAAAAGAGCGCGTGGCATTTGAAAACCTTCGTCGGTCAGAAATAACAAAATGAAAACGTTAGCAAAGGCGATGATAGCCATAGCAATCCCGATAGGCGATTTTCCTCCAGGCTGCTCATAGGCTTGTTTGCCACCCTCTTAACATAAAAAAACCGTGAGCCTACAAACCCTTGCGATAACAGTATATTTTAATGTATAGTAGATATTTATGAGTATGTTTAATCGTGGATCTTTTATTGTAATATTTTTTTTGATGTGTAACATCTTTCCTCTCGCTTTCCTGCAATTTGTGGGAGTGATTTCGTGAAATGGGTCGTGTGTAACAGGAAGTCGCGAAAGCGGGCGCTATTTGATTTTAGAACATAATGTTCAAATGGCTTATTCCTTTTGTAGTAGGTTTTATTTCTTTTTTTACTAATATAAGGTGAGGTTTCGAATGTTACACATCATACACGACTACTGTAAGGCCCGCTCTTTTTTTTTATAATAGCATACCCCCTCTTTTAATAAATTTTGTCTCTCCATCCTATAGTTGTCTGGCAGAAATGGCTATATAGCAATAAGACCGCCAATTGTTCACTATTTCAAGTTTTTCCCTGGGGTGTAATATTTAATGTGGTGTGCACAATAAAGTGTTATCTATGTATCTATCTATCTATATCATTTGCGCATTGTCTTCTTTGAGATACAAAAGATTGCATTAACGCTAACGTAATTGTTAGCGTTTAAGTTAGAAACTCCGAGTTTTATTATTAAGACACGAATTAAACGTAAACATGTGACGCCTCACCAAAATATTATCAAAACTGCATCTCTTCTGCGTGACATCACACGCTGCGGAAATATTTTCTCTTTGGTCACACCACAGTTGAGGCTAAGACAGTAACCGTTTATACATAAGGCGAAAATAATTTAAAAGTGATCCTTTTTAATGGCTTCAACTAAAGGAGTGTGTCGATATTATTAAAATACTATTCATATTTATGTTAATAAAACTGATATTTACAAAAGTTTTCTTGCTTAATCCAAATGAAGTAATTAAATTTTATTAAAAAGTTATTTTGCTTACAAAGTAAAAACTACAATTAGCGCCATTAAAAAAAGATAAACTAGGTATTTAGGTTAAAGTGTCTATCTACATAACAACATTTTCTTCAAAATTTAAGTTTTATCAGTATTGGCGTGACAACTAAATTAATAAACAGATGATAGGGTATTTAACAAGTGTTAGGAAATGATTTCACGTTATTGACTAATGTTTATGAAGTCCGTAAAAAGTGAATATTCATCATTCTGTAAAAATAACCAAATCAAAAACTCCATTGTCAAGTTGCCGCGAAAATGTTTCTCTGGACAATATGGCGTCTTACTAGTGTGTGATGTCATACGACTGTTATTAAAACGTCAAACGATACATTGTAATGTCACTTTAACTGGAAGTTTACTTGCGTGTGATGTCATTTTAGGCTCAATTACAAGCGTTTTGGATCACGTGGCAATAGATAAGAAAACTATTATCCTTTTCGTGGGTTTCTAGTAAAATTATGAATATTTTTTTTGTGAATATAGTAAAATCCCCTGCCAATATTCATTCTAAACACAGATGCTAATTGGCACTTTATTTTTAACACTGTCAAATACCCTATTACTTCTTAAGAAAATTTTACAAGCAAATATTCCACTCCCTCCAGGTTTCAGATAGGATTCGAACTCGCATCTTCCGCTATACTGGCGAACACACTGACCAATTGTGCAACCGAAGGTTACTTTCAATAATTAAACTAGTAAAAGATACATCTTTTCTGGTTACATTTCTTGGCAACAGTTATTTGTTTAAATAATTGAACTAAAATATATGTAACTAGGTTCTAACTTCGCACTCAAAGGAGTCATTTAACTAATAATTTTTGACCAAAGTTCACGCTGTCAGCTTTAACAAAAATAGAAATAAAACCGTTTATAATTTGGCGGATACGTTAAACTTGTTTGATATATTAAAAAAAATCCGATTCTCATCTGCTGTTTATTATTTATACTGTGGCACACGTTTCACTGCGCCGGCGCCGGGCCACTGGCGCCGAGAGTTCGACAAATTAAGATTATGATGAATAATTTCGGTCCGAATGCTTTATAATTGACATATAAATCAAAACTTCCAAAGTTTATGTAAGAACTAAAAATTTTAACCATGTTAGCTTTTAAAGTGTTATTTTGTACGTGCATATTATCGACCGTTTGGTTGACAGAGCATTTTTTATATATTTATTTATTTCCAATATAACATTTAACTTAGTTTACGAAACATATCTATCGAAAAACTGTTTTCACAGTTTGTAGGCGTTTCGCTTATTTCCATTTTATAGATATCAATTTAATGACTTAAACTCTATTTTATAAAGAAAATATAACTAAACATCGAGCAACTACATGCTTTAAAAAATAAAATTATATTTAGTTTATAACTTATGTTTACTGAACACTTCTACTTATATAATAAATAAAATACATGTCTTTTGCTATTAATAAATATAAATAATTAAAAAATACGTGTGGCACTCTGGGACTGCCGCGGTAAAGATATTGCATAGCATTATTTATCAACTTATGCAATTATAATTATTTATTTATTTTATTTATGCAGTTTTTTTTTCTTTGATATCAATTCAAGTTTTTTCTTTGATATTAATAGATGGCGAGGTAGGCCTTATGATATTTTAGTGGGCAAGCACAGCAAAATACAGCATTGCCCGGCGCCAAAAAAACTTCCACAAGCTCCACAGTTTACCATCTTTAGTCTAAAAAATTTAATTATAATTATAAAGTCTAAATAAAAGGGAGACAAATCAAAATAAGAACAGGTGCTGGGGTCTAAAACAAATATATAAAGAAAATGAAAAAAATAATAACTAAAAATAAAAAATACGAGTGCGGGATTTGAGCCGACGATCGCGGTTATGCGTCGAACGTTAGTCCCGTGACAAAAATTTAATACACTACGCCGGCCGTTTAGATTGATATTACCATGGCGAAAATTGTGTTCTATTAGTATATGCACTCTCGCAAGGTTTTTTCGTTACAGATTTTTTTGATTCGGTCCCTGCATTCAAAGCCCGCGATAAAAGCTATACAATAGCTAAGTAAAAAACAATACAAGTTAATAAATAATATTAATACATAAAATACATATATATTTTTGCTATCATTATTGAGGTTCGTCAGTCGTTTTTGAGAATCGCGCTATTGCGCGTCTGTCGCGACAAAAATCTAAATTGACGATGATTTTCATTGCTTATTTCCTTTGAACACCTTAATCTTCTCGAGAAGGCTCTACCCCCTTAGTTAAATACACGAAAAAGCATTTTTTTATGTCAATAGGGAGGCAAGAGGCCCTCCTGATAGTAAGCGGTCACCATAGCTTAGACGCTTGCGACACAAAAAATATCATTGGCGTCTAAGGAACCCCTCGACGTCACCTCACATACATCGTGGAACGTTGAACTAACTCGTGACAACGTGACATGACTTCACACTTTTTCGTGCGTACAGCCAGTTTTCATCGATTTATACATAGATATTCAAAAATTCCATAATCGATCAATGAATATTATGCAGCGCTCATATAAAAGACATCAACGAGTGAAATAAATTCAACGGTTTATTAAAAAACAAGTTCTGAAACAGTTACCTATTAAGAGATTAGACTAGTGACTTCTAAGTATATTTTATTAATGAAATGTTTTTCTAATGCACTACTATATATATATATATGTGTGTGTGTGTATATTAGCACTTCTTTTTGCACTTCTGCATACATATTATATTATCTTTTTGCATATATACACTTTATTAGGCAAAATATTATACGCATCCATGAGCAATTTGTGCTTAAAACCAGTATGAAAATTTAGTTTTAATTTAATAATTCCGCCTGGTGACACAGGCTACCTTAACTATCCCGGCTACGTGCTTGAAGAGTCCTTCAAAGCGAAAGTCGGTGTATGCCTGTATGTTCGGGCGGATGTTTGTTGTCGCAGTCTCAGTTGCTTGGAAGATCCCTCCCTCTCCATGCTGGGGGTACTCGTCGACTCTGGTCCCTGGCCAGAGTCTACGTGTGCCTCTCTACAGATCCCACGCCAGCGATGTTGAGACAACTCGACTCTTTGAACACCTTTGTCGAGCAGCAGATGACGCACAGGAACAATTTCCCAATGCAGAATTGGTGGTTTTGGGGGACTTTAACGCAAACCACAATTTGTGGTTAAATTCCTCCAAAACAAACCGTGCAGGGATACCTGCTCACGTTTTGGCTCTCACGCATGACTTGAAGCAACTGGTTGATCAGCCCACATACTGGATCTTCCGCTCACGACCCATTCAGAGGGCATCAGGTTGTGGTAAGCCCCCCTGAGCTCGTCGGATCACTGTCTGATATTCTTCTTTGCCGATTCACTCTTGACAGAGCGGTCGTGGTCATCAGGTAGCGGTCAGGTTCCGGGCAGCCATAATCCTCTTCACGATGCGACGCCATCCTTCCCTATCGGTTGTGCTACGTGTGCACTCGTGCAAGGGGCCGCCTACTGCCGATTTGATCTGGTCGGTCCAGCGCATGGGCGACCTGCCACGTGCCCTCGTGCCTTCGACCTTCCCCTGTACTACAAGACGCTCTATGGACGTGTTGTCCCGTCGTGAAACGTGCCCAAAGAACTGTAGTATTCGAGTCTGGACTACGTTTGTTAGACGCTGTTTGACACTGAGTTCTTGGAGAATAGATGCATTGGTGCGAAACTCTGTCCACTTCACTCCAAGCATCTTTCTCCAGCACCACATCTCTAGTGCATCTATTTTCTTTTTCTCAATTTCTCTATTATAATATCTGCTATTATTATCTGCCAAAGCAAGGCCAAACCCCTGCATCCAGCGGTGGTCAAACGCCGTATCGGGCACTATGGGTCGGCAGATTGGGACGGTATGCGTGACTACTTTGCGTCCGTCCCTTGAAAGCAGCGCTGCTTCAGTGACAGGGACCTATCGGCCAGCGCCATTGCTATTATTGAGGAGATAATAATGGGTACGGAATGCTATATTCCTTATTCTAATCTCATCAGTAAGGGTACACGTAAACTCTTGTTCAATCGCAACTGAAGCTGTTTCGCGTAAGCATATAGTGCTTGGATCAGAGGCCGCGCTCTTAAGGATCCCGAGGTCGATTCACTAAACGCAGCCTAAAATTTTGCTTCCAAGACCTGTAAGAAGGCTTACATCAGAGCTAATGCCCAGCGCGTTGCACGTGTTGGTCAGGAACTTATAACGCATCCTACGGCCTCCCATAGTTACTGGCGTTTGGCCAAGGCCATGCAGAAGAACTTCTGCCAGCCCTCGCTGCAATAAGCCACAGAAGAAAGCCAATTTACTGGCACTGGTTTATTTACTGGACTTCACAACATCATTAATATCATTAACATCGGGTAGGGTGGAGTCATTTGTTAGACCTATCTATAAAAGAAAACAAAATTATGTATTTAAATGCAATAAAAGCATAAATATTCGTAAAATGCAGAAAGCTGCGCGCTGTTGCAACTCATGAATCAGAGTCATAACAAAAGTAAAAGTTCTCATTTCAAAACGCCTGGTTTCAATGTTGTCTTAACTGTAACACAACGTTAACCCACAAACAATATATGACTAATGCCTGAGTTATATTTTTATTTGATTCACTTATTTGTAAATTACATTAAAAGTTGATGAGGAGTTATGTTATGTTGTGATGTAGAGAATTCAATCGTTGGTAAAGTAGTAGGTAGGGTTAGATAATGAGAAAGAAATAAGAATTAAAGATAAAGACATTTTATATTACTTAATGTGTAGTTTTTTACTCATATTCCTTCCAATAAAAAAATCAGTAATTGAAGGAGCCTGATAAATCATTTTCAGTTCAACAGGATTTGGCATTTGGTTAACCAATGATATTTACCTAATATTTCTTTTAATTAAAAAGTGACGCTAAAGTAACGTTTTGAGTCATGTTAAGCGGGTAACCCGAAGGTGTAACGGGTAACGCAAAATGTTACAAAAGTAACGCTCTGGCTATGTCAGTCGCTATGTCAGAAGAAATCAGATCATTGCTCGATCTTTAGTCATTGCCTTTTTGCCCTGTTCCATAAAGATCCCCTAAAACCCCTTTCCTCCAGCAGTTTATATATACGCTATTACGTTGGTTAAATTCTGCAAAAAGATCTTTTGTCACTTTTAACCGATGACTTGTCGTTAAATATAGCGCAACCGGGCTTAACTTTTGTGGTATTTATCTAAGTGTCGCGACCAAATGTGATTATAATGACACTATAGCGAACGCAGCATTTCTTATACAACAAAAGCAAACAAAGAATTTTCAACAGGTTTATAGACAGACTATCGTTCATTTCTTAAATATTCATCATAAAATACCTTACGATAAATATTGAAGAATTGATATCATCTTTCAATTGATGACTCTGTATGAAACAAAACGGGGGGAAAACCCTTGCTGAGGAGTTTCTTGCCAGTTCTTCTAGGTACAAAGTACTACCTGCCGTAGATTTACGAACTGATGGCGTAGAGTTTACGTACTGATGGCGTAGAGTTTACGTTCACAAGAGCTTATAACTGAATAAGGAAGAAAAGTAGAAGCGTAGACTGAATACTTAAGTGATCTTGAATTTTGAATAAGTATTTTTTTTAAAGGAAAGGATTTTTTTATAATAAAATCATTGCATCGCAGATATCTATCGGACAGGACCTGATGCAAATAAAATCTTTCAATTGAGCTTTGTAAAAACCTAAGCAAATTAACAGCATTTCTCCTCGATTACGAGTAAAACCCAATCATTCTTAATTTCCCTTAAAGCAAAGACAGACGTTTCAATAGATTATTAATGTTTTCCAACAACTACACACTTTCGATATGGCCTTTGCGAACTAGAGCTATAATAATCGTGATAGCGAGACGGTGCGTATGAAACCCGCTCGCTGCCACAGAAAGACGGTGGAAAACTAAACTAATTTTCACGCGTACAAATTGTGTAATTCGCTTAGAAACTAGCGCCACTGACAACTGCAAATCTAGTCGCGTAACATCGCACAACGGAGCATAAAACCTCCTTGCGCTGAAAACTAAATTAAAAGTCAACGTGGAATTATAGAACTACACAATTCTCTTGCAAAATCGAAATGTTTGCGTTGCTGCTAGCGCCAACAGTGAACGCAAACCTAAAGCTGTAACGCCGTTCTATAGACAGGTTTTTGAGAAAACACTCGGCTAGTACGCATTCGACCGCTGGCGGGAACTGACGATTTAAAAAAGTGAAGTTTTTTTTTGACGAAATGACATAGGCCGCTTGCAGATTCGGTGTTCGAAAATTAGGACTTTTAAAAAGTAATCACCGGTGCTTTTTGGAAAATAGTTTTTTTTAAAGTGCTCGCTTAGCGAAAGTGGCTGATCTAAAAGTGAAAGGAGCCATTTGAGTGAGTATCTAACTATAGCGATCGTCGAAGCCTGTTTTGATTTGTGAGATGATCAAGACCAATGTTTTGAATAAGATGCAAGGTGACCCAGTTGCGCGAAAGTTTTGTGCAAACCTCTTTTCTACGAGCCTCCTTCTCTTAGAAAAGAGGCTTTACTTATAGCGAAATTTGTGACGTAAAATTGTTTTTAATTCGGAAGTTTCACCGCCAACTTAAACTCGTAATTCCATATATATGCAAATTGCATACAATTAATTTAATTAACACATTAAATGATTTAACAAATATGATAATTATACTTTAATATGTATCAGTATAATTCTATCCGTTACCCTATAATATCACATAACAAAAGCTTTGCAGTGCTTACTTTGGCGCTAAGCTAATTGGTGTATGTTAGAAATATTATTATTATTAACTAGCTGCCCGCCCTCGCTTCGCTTCGGTATTTTATCCCCTTGGGGGTAGAATTGATCAAAATCTTAGCGGATGCCTACGTCATAACATTGTCATAGCATGCAGGTATGCCAAATTTCAGCCCGATCCGTCCAGTGGTTTAGGCTGCGATTTGATAGATCACTATGTCAGTCAGTCACCCTTGAGTTTTATATATATAGATATTACACATTTGCATTCCTAGATTTTTTTTTTGTAAATTGTGTAAAACATTATTCCATAACACTCTATATATGGTCTCTCATTCGGAACCGATTTTAAGGATCGATTTTCAAACCCTGAAATGAGATGGTAATACACAGCATGATAATATATTCAAGAAATAAATCATCTCACTGAAATGCATATTTCTTCATTCAATTTTTATCCTAGTCTGAGATTTCGTTTAAGTTTAATTAGTTTCAATAGTAATTGAAAGAGTTTGAACCAATCCATTGTATTATACTGTATCTTCTTCGCGGACAGTGTGTGTAGTGTGTAAAATCCTATGAAAAAGATGAAACGGAAATGCGTCACGAGCGTCACACGACTATATATATGTATATATATATATATATATACATATATATATGTGTGTGTATATATATTTATGGGGGGGGTGCATTATGCACCGCCTAATGTTAACCTAACATTAAGAAAAGAAGTTTCACTTCAGATGTGTGATCCATGTACACATTTTTTTTCTACTACATAAATCATTTGTTATTGTTATGTGTGTTAGTTTATACCAACGCGGACTTTTTTGTAGACCTTTTTAAGGTGTACAATACTGTAGTTCATTATTTTCATCTATCTCGTAGGGTTCAGCCAGCGTTTGCAATGTAAGCGCAAAAAAATGTGTTTATTTACGACCTTACATTATAAACCTGTAAAATTATCAGTGTTTCTCTACTATATTATGCATGTATTATACATATAAACCTTCCTCTTGATTAACTCTATCTATTAGGAAAAACCGCATCAAAATCTGTTGCGTAGTTTTAAAGATCTAACCATACATAGGGACAGACAGCGGGAAGCGATTTCGCTTTATACTATGTAGTGATGAAGCTTTGTTTTGTATATAGAAAAAAAATTACTTATAACTTTATACTCTTTCTGTATTCTATAAACCTCAACGGAACCCGATAAATAGCTCGGTTTTATGGGTGTTTATATTTTTAGCAGGACTACTGGATATTGTTTTAATGTATCTCTACTAATTTCTTATCTGCCCTTCACTACATTCACATGGGCATAAGGCGAAAAAATCCAGTGTTCATTACTTTTCTATTAAAAAATTGTTCTTATAGTAACAAAACGGCAAAGCCACATATTATGAATAAGGTGTAGAGTATGTGAGGAGCTCGATGGCACATGTGGTTAGCGCGTTCGGCTGCGATCGTTGAAGTTAAGCAACTTTCGCAGTGGTCGGTCATTGGATGGGTGACCAAAAATTTACTATTTCGAGCTCCACCGCGCTTCAGAAGGCACGTTAAGTTGGTCCCGGCTGCATCTGCAGTCGTTAGCACCTACCAATCTGCACTGGGCCCGCCTGGTGGGTCATGGCCTAATCTCCCTATTCCATCCATAAGGGAGGCCTACGCCCCAGCAGTGGGGACATTAATAGGCTGGTGATGTGATGTAGAGTATGTTAAGTTAGGCCTTGTACAGTTTGCGCGCCATTCGGAAACGGGTACCGCGACCACACCCGCCCTCTCGGCACGCACTAGGGAGACTGCGGTCCTCATAGTGTGTGTCGGGTGACGGTGCAGGAGTACTGCCTGGTTTTTAGTGGCCCTGTTCAGGGCTTTAGGTAGGGTCCTCTTCACTTCTTCCGGCCCCAAGGCTGGCTGAAAGGAACGGGGAGGAGTCCCACATACCTTCTTCTCGCTTCCCCAGTGGTTGAAGGATGCATAAGAGTAGAGAGTAGTGTAGTAGTGGCGTAGAGTTAGGATGTGTAGAAAGAGTTAGAAACTTGACTCTTTAAGAAATCAGTACCCTAAGCACTAATCAATATCGAAATCGTATCGTTTGCGAGGCCGAAATGTCATTGTCAAATGTGTACTGATTTTTAGTTCTCGTTACGTACTTTGTGGCGCTGCTGTTCAAGTTTCCATACAAAATTTGACAGTGACATTTCGGTTTGCAAACTATTCGAATACGATAATGGTTCGTGCTACGAGTACTGTACCCCTAGCACGAACCAATATCGAAATCGTATCGTTTACGAGGCGAAATGTCATTGTCAAATGTGTACTGATTTTTAGTTCCCGTTACGAACTGTTCAAGTTTCCATACAAATTTGACATTGACATTTCGGTTTGCAAACTATTCGGGTTCGATAATGGTTCATGCTAGGGGTACTGATAACTTTTTGACATTGCGAGTCATATGGTCTCGTGTTGGCAACATTTTACATGAAATATCACGCCACGGCCAATAAGAGCAGAACATCGATAAAAAATTGCCAAAACGTATAAAAACGTTTCA